ACTTTCTCCCGGTAATCACCATTCCCGTTGACAACCAAAACCCCCCCCCCCCCCCCGCACGCGCGCTCGCATGCAGGGGGGAGTATGCCGCGGTGTTCGACCCCTTGGACGGCTCCGCCAACATCGAGGCCGGGCTGCCTTGCGGCACGATCTTCGGCATCCTCCGGGCCTCAGGCAGCGCCCGCGAGGGACGAAAGGCGGGGCCGTCGACAGTCGTGCTCCCGGGGCGGAGGCTGGTTGCGGCGGGATACTGTCTCTACGGGCCTTCGACGAAGCTGGTTTTCACTCTGGGCGCAGGCGTTTTTGAGTTTACGTTGCGGGGGGAGGTGGCGCAGGGGGGGGCAGGGGAGGGAGGGCTCGGAGGCGGCGAGCTGGACTTCGTGCTGACGAGATCGAACTTGAGGATACCTAGGAGCGGAAATGTGAGGCCTTTTTCTTGTTTGCAGCGCGCGTGTTTCTGTGAGTTGTGGGCACGTGATCGTGAGGTGGCGATGATGCGTTTCGTCTGTATCGAATAGAGCGCGAGAGGGCTTCCAGACGGGTGGACTCGTGGACAGATATGAATCACGGACCACGCGGAACATACTGCATGGGGAGGGAGGGCGGGGTGGGCGCAGGCGTAAGTGAGCGAGTGTACAAGTGGGGGGGGCACGTCAATGAATTCCGTTTTGAAGGCCCACAATACCACTACTATTTCCATGGAGCGTGTGTGTTGCTGGCAGCCGTGTTTTCGTACAACCGTTGACAAAACCGGTCATTCGCCCCCCTTCCTATTTCACGGGGACGAAGGTTCCTCGATTCGACGCCGCCGTCCCCCCGTCTCTCCCTCCCATCCTGCTTTCTGGTTGTATGCATACCGGGCGTGTCGAACTTGTTGCCCCCTCTGCGCGCAGGTTTACAGCGTGAACGAAGCAAACTCGGTCTCCTGGTCCGAGGCGATCCAAGACTACTTCCAAGACCTCAAGACCACCATGGCGACTCCCCCGTCCTCTGCTGATGGTGGCGGCGGTGGTGTCGACGAGGAGGCGGCAGAGGTAGAGAACCAGTACGCCGGCGCGTTGGTGGCCGACATCCACAACGTGCTCGTCAACGGGGGAGTGTTCGCTTACCCGGCGGACGTTCGTAACCCCAACGGCAAGCTGCGGCTGCTCTACGAGGGTGAGTTTGAGTTTTTTTACCAGCAGACCCTGTAGTAAGTGTAGTTCGGTCCCACTCGGTACGTACGTGAGCTGGTTATTGGGGTTTTCCTTCTCCTTGGTTTTTCGTCGTCGTTTGTTTCGTCGGACTCTCTCACACACGACCGTTTGTTTGTCGTACCTCACCCCCCTCCTTGACTGATCTCGTCGGCCTTCTCTGTTGTTGTGCGTCTTCGCCCCCCCTCTCTTACCCCTTCTCTCGCTCTACTACTTTGGCGACGTCGGCGGCGGCGACCGGGGCCCCGCACACCACCAGGCAACCCGATAGCCATGATAGTGGAGGAGGCCGGGGGCATTGCCACCACTGGGTTCGAGGCGATCAGAGATGTGCGCCCGCAATCGGTGCACCACCGCATCCCCGCCTTCTTCGGCAGCCCGGACGACCTGCTGCCGCTCTTAGACCCGAGGTACCTGCACTCCAAGAAGAAGAGATGATACCCTGGCGGTGTGTGCGGGCGGGCGGACGCAAGTAGGTAGCCGTCAAGGCACCCGCCGGGCGGTTTGTTGTAGCGCAGGATAGCAACATTTTTTTTTTTTCCTGGTTTGGGGATGGTTTATTTTTCGACCGTTTTGTTTTCTCCGGGCGACGAGAAAAGTGAAAACGCCCTTCCAACCGCCACGCGTAACGATGCCAGAAGTACATTTGGTCTTCCAGTGACGGGAAGGCCCTGCTTGTGTGCCGTGTTGATGTGTAGAGATAACACCTTCGCGCACGTGCATCCCGAAAAAAGTGTTTTGTTGACCGGGTTGGTCGTTTTTGGTGATGGTGGGTCGCCAAGTCAAGGAGCGGCGTATCGCTGTGCTGGTTGCGTGGTTGCAGTGCCTCACGAAGAGGTCATGGGGGTAGAGGGTTGTGGCTGTTTTGGCGCGGCTATTTTTTATCCATCCCGCCTTCGAGACGCAGCACGATCTCCTTCCCCCCACTCGTGTTGGTGTCGGATCCTTTTATTTGTAGCCCGTCGTGCCGTCTTCGATATCGCCTGTAGCTTGTTGGCTACAGTTAGTTGTCCTCGGGCGTGTCGCGTATCTACGGGCCATCCTTTGTCTTGTTTTGCGAGCTGCGGGGGGCGGTGACGGCCTTACCTCAATCGCCGGTTGTGAGCCTTTTCTGAAAGTTCTACTTGTCTAGCTGGTGTGTCATCCCGTTTGTTCTGGGCGAGTAGACCACCATGGTGTGTCTCCGCTTTCTCAGGTTTGGAACACTGCTTCCGTGGATATAGTGAATGGCGGGAATGCACGGGGGAGGGAAAGGCTGTGCCATGTTCGGCTCCTTTTGACCACACTTTGGAGTCAATCGTAGAGCAGTTGGCAACAAACTATCGCTTCGTTGAGAACGTGAAACCGACCGTAGTGTCGCCGCTGGCATATCCGGGGAGTGGGTGGGGAGGGGGGATGGTAGCGTGACCGCTCTGGTGTGTTAGCTTAAACTTTGTCGACGGTAAGCAGTTGACGACGAGAGGGAAGGGAGGGGGGGCAGCGGAGACGCTTTGAGTTTGCATTGTCGTGGTGTGTTTTCTGTGTCTGTTGTTGGTTGTGGTAGTGTACGACTATCGCGGAAGATTTTGTCTTACTAAGCAAGTATCTGCGTGTCACTAAAGAAATGCTCCTGTCGGGGAAACGGGGGGGATTGTTCGGGCGGGGGACAAACGTCACACCACTCACCACCCCTTCCATCATGACATCATCACCACAGACGACCAAATTGATTCTGTAGCGTACCCGAGCAACGCGTGGCACGAGACACAAGTGAGAGAGAGAGAGAGAGAGAGAGAGAGAGAGAGAGGGTCAAGAGTTATGCGCGCACTGTCACTGCAACGACGATAGGGGGGCCGGTGATCAAAACCCACTCACGTGGATGTCGAGAAATGACAAAGGGTTGTTTATCCTGCCACGGGCGGTCCTCCTGCAGTCTGCTCCGGTCTTGAACCGTGCACCAAGTGGTAGGTGCATCCTCCGCAGTCTGTATTGTTCTTGCATCATGCACAAGAAGTAGTATTAATAGGCGCATCCTCTGCGGGACCCGCCAAGCAGGCCATGCAGAACTTCGGCTCATTCTGCCAAAAACCACCGCCCACCCGAATGTACCGACGCCGTGCAAGCATTGGTATGTTGTCTGTTACTAACATCATCACCTACCCAATCTCGGTAAAGTAAATGTTGGCACCTTCTGTTCTCGCCATCTCCACAAGCCGCGTTTCGCATTTACACGCGGGAAAACAACAAAAAAAAAAACAACCACAGCCGTGACGAACGTCAAGACTCACACCCAACACCACACGATGAAAAAAGCAACGACCCATCAAAAGACTGTACTTGTACGCTCCTACCCTTCGCACTCGCAACTCTTTCAATTAAAAACACCAACAAAACTTCTGACAAAAAAGCGTGCGAAAGGACGGCACGTTGCACCCAGCATCCATTTTCGTTCGCATGTGTCTCGTGACACCGAGCGTCCTCCAGGCCGATTGATCGCTCACCGAACACCCACGACAAGGAACAAAAATAAATGAGGCTCTGGCCGTACTCGGGCCACCCGCAAACAGAGAGAGGCACAGAACAACGCTCGCCAACCCGACAACCACTAGGACACAGTGTTAGGAGGCATCTGTTAGCGGGGACAGCCACAAAGAAAGAGTCTTCGGCATCTACAAATAGCAGGGGGGCGGCCACAAGAAAACAGTCTTCGGTATCTATAATAATAGGAGGGACGGCCACAAGGATGCACGCGGGGAAAGGAGAAAACGCACAACCGTTGCTTGGCTATGCCAAAATAGCCGGCACCACTACTGCTGCTGGCCCTGCCGACCAGAGTCAGAGCGACATCAACCGACACAGCCAACCCCGGAAAAAAAAACCGACACCGTGGGCGTGCCAGCATTTGGCATGAACTACTGTACAGTCCGGTCTGCTGGCAAAATAACAAGTACCACATGACCAGTCAAGTCCACAGAAACAACTATTACACCAACTCTGGGAGTCGAGAACAATTCATTACCACAGGGGACAGAACAAATCGTGATTAGGAGGGGGGGGGGGGAGCGACAATGGTGAAGGACCCTCATCTTCGCGCCCCATCGTCACAAAGGAATCGACCAAGACAATACCACTCGCTTCCAAACAGGGACAAACATGAAACGGTTGCCTCTAGTCTAGAACACGCGAAGACACTACCCACGACAAATGACAGCTACACATACATCAACCCGCCTCCCAGTTACCCATGATGCTCGCCTCTCTCTCTCTGAATGGCACCAAACACAAGGCCAGAAACCTAATTTATCTGTACTCCTCTGGATGGCTCCGCACTACTTCCCCTACATCGTCCCTCTCACGGTCGCCCTGGACAAAAATCACTGCTGCTGCGTCCTACGCTGAGTCCTCGTGACAACCCTTTTTCTCTTCGAAGGCGTCACGATCGGTCTCGTTCCCACTTGTCGACCCGCTCCCTCCCTCCCTCTCTTAGAAAATAATGTGCCCATTCCCGCCCCCCTCCCCATGATTACCCCCTCGTTTTCTCACAACTTTTCATCATCTTCCTTCCTTGCCAGGGAACCCGACGAGCACAAGCCTCTCGCTCCCGTACAAGAGGGAACAAACACCCAATGAAGCAGACAAGACATGCAAGAGGGAACACCCAATGAAGCAGACAAGACGTGCAAGAGGGAACACTCAAATGAAGCGGACAAGACAGCAAGCGATGGATGAAAGAACAATTCTCTGTGTAAACTATGGCCGGCACTGATCGGAACGAACACGTGTGTATAACTTTTGCATTCGTAACGAGAACACGTTTGTCACCGGCTCCTGCTCCTCTGCCGCAACCTGCAGGTGGTGCCATACAGCAAAAGACCCGAAAGGGTCATGTTCATATGCATACCCCCCAATGAGTGTATAGAAGAATACACCCCATGAGTATATATACATACATGATAGAAAAATGCGAGTCCACTGCACAATTCTCCGAATTCTGTCGCAACGCACTCGCCGCCCGCCACACCAACCACCACCAACACATGCGCCACAGGAGAGCAAAAAAAAAAAACACCTAAAAGGGGGGTTTCCTTCGCAAGAGACAAAAAACACACAATTGCCAACAAGGAAAGGAGAAAACAACACCACAGCAAAATTTTGTACAAACGGGTATCAAAATCAACCAGACCAGCGTGGCAGCACACACGATACAACACCCGGTCACAGCAGTCTTGTACCGTTGGCGAACGTAACTATCACGGGAGGTGACACACAACACACCGACGACCAATGCTTCCGAGAGGTCGAAAGTTCATTTGCATGCATTGTAGCCCATATGATCAATCCACCGTTCAGCGAGGACTTCCGCCAGCCCGCCCGCCGCCGCCGCCGCCGCCGATGGGGCCATCCATCTACAAGACCAGATGCAACCGGTAAATGGCGGCCTCGAGTCGGGTGTTCTTGGAGAGGTTGCCGTCGCTGCTGCTTTGGTCATCTTCCAGTTGCTGCTGCTGCTGCTGTTGTCCCTGCTCCTGAGAGAACACGGTGTCGCGGACCCAGTCCATCACCCGCAGGACCGCTTTCGGCCAAAGCTTCTCCCCCACCGCGCTCGTCATGTGCGCTCGAAGCCCGGGACCGATGGCGTGGATGTCGCACGTGGGCCTACCCGTGCTCGTGTGGCGGCACTGCCAAAGAAACCGAGAGACAAAGACAGGGGGGGGGGGGGGGGGGGGGGGGGGAAAATATTGCAAAAAAGGGGGCACTAGACAAGACGAAAGGCATGTCCAA